TCACTCTCACTCTCTCTCACTCTCACTCTCTCTCTCTCTCTACCTCTCTTTCTCTCTTTCTCTCTTTCTCTCTTTCTCTACCGGAGTTCTTGCACCTTCCCCACAGCTCCCAGGGAGCACGGCTCGCCAGGCTCCTTGCCTTCGTGTCGGAATCGAAAGCCCTGTGCCACCAGTACGATGACGCTACCGATCACAGCCACCTGGCACAGCCGAGCCATGTCATGTCGCGGTCTGGTGCTGCTTCTTGGACCTCCTCAAGACAACAACCCTGAGGATAACAAGGAAACCTAGTAGGACCTTGCAAACCAATCCAATCCAACATTAGATGATATATGATTAATTTCTGTACTGTAGATATATGTATATAGATGAACCTACATTCACCACATGATCGCAACTCGGATGCTGGGCAACTTTGCGGTGTTCGCGCGCAGTGATGGGATATCCGAAGCGGGGCCCACCGCCGAGAACATCCCTTCATATTGTACTTGGCGGTTCAACTCTTTGATCGAGAGTCTCCAAGAATGATTCCGGAGTATATAAAAGGCCCACAACTCAGGCATGGCTCCTATATGGTTTGTTTGTAACATGAGGACACGTACTTCAGGGAGGTGCATGTACTGCATGCACTCTGAAACCTCAAACTGCGAACCTGGTGGGGTTGCAAACTGATCAGCAGGTGCTACTGGCACCCTCTCAAAACCAGCCTGCCAGCGCTGGAGTTGTGGGATCAGCCCAACCTGCCCAGCTGGCCCTTCTTGTGACAAAATCACAGCAACACTGACCTGATGACAACTTACATGGTCATTCATAACTCTAACCTACTGGCCCATCACGTAACCTTTATGATCACTTATTCGTGTGGATCACTTCCTTGCGCCGCGCTGTCCAATGCTGTACAAGTCTTCAAATCACCAGGAGGTCCATCTAGCAGCGCCTGCCCTTCCACCACAGCATCCTTCTCTGTGAAATTGCCTCGCGCCGCAGGCCATTGAGTGGCGAAATGTTCGCCCCTGGAACCCCCCCTCCGCGCTGCCAGGTGGCTAGTGCTATGGACCTTTTCCGCCACATTCACCCAGGATCTGTAGAAGTCCTCGTGGCTCAGTCTTCAACAGCAGAATCCCAAGCACGGGTTCACGTGGAAAGGCGAAGAGCCTCAATTACTCCTGAATGCTTGCCCATCTTCCTTTCAACATGTTTTCAGAAAATCATGATGCCAACATGCCAGTCGAACATTCCACTCGCACAGCTGAGCGACATTCCACAGGAAGTGGCACAGTCGGTCGGGTCTAGGCTTCCCTTCTTTGCCTCAGGGCAATGAAGAAGCTGGCCCAAGGTGCTCTGGTCACATTCTCAATGAGGTCCGGACTGTAACAATCTGGGCAAAGGGACCTTCAAGGCGCACCAAAACCATCTTGTATAACAGCTTGGCGAACACACTCAAGAAGACACACATCAAAAAGAACCATCGGCGTTGCTTGGCACTGGGTGAGATGAGTGATCACGAACATCTATGCAGACCTTTAGATTTTGCCTTAGCAGGACGAGGGAGGGAGGGAGGGAGGGAGCGAGGGAGGGAGGAAGAGGGAGGGAGGGAGGGAGGGAGGAAGAGGGAGGAAGAGGGAGGAAAAAAAAAAAATTATTTAAACGAAGTGTCACACCTCCAAAATCCGACCCAGCCGAACCTCCCAAGTTCACTTCCCCCCAAGTTCACTTCGCCTCTGTGGCCAGTGGCTTGGGCTTCGGCCGGGACCGGGCCACGGACTGTCCTGGATAGTGCAGGCGGCGTAGGGCTAACTTCAGTGGTCCAAAAACAGAGGTACCCAACTGGATGTTCTTGAAGAGCAAGAATACCGATGATAATGAGTTGTGGCTTTAAAAAAGATTGTTCCTTTTGCCAGTGAGAAGCAGTGAGAGGTACCCTAATTATGGCTTGTCGTGATATTGGAGCCATAGCCAACTCCACTTCTTAAACATAGACTCTATGGTTCGTCCAACCACCCAGTACCGTCCAGAAATTCCAGGTCCCTGGCACCGGTCCACAAAGGGGCCAACCAGGCCTCAGTGGGTGGAGGGACCAACCTGGCCATTTCCCGGTCCTGGGAGTGTCCATCACTCAGCCTCAACGGAGCAGCAACATGTTGCAACATATGACGGTGGATGGATGTTCAACCCCTAAATGCCATGGTCTCATATGGGGTGTTGAAATTGAATCCACAAATTATTGGGAAGATAAGGGATGGCCCAACTTATTCTATCTACCGGGAGGAAGTAGAAGTGGTATGCCAAATCCCTAGCGGCACGATCGACCGGAACGAGTACCCGACGGTTGGAGGGTCGAGTTCCCGTGGCGAAAGTGCGAGTTGCCGGACGGACGAAGGCACGACGGCGAACGAACGAACGGAAGGGGCAACGAAGTGCGAAAGAGTGCGGAAGCACGAAGGCAACGAAAGGGAGGGCCGACCACAGGTCAACCAACCCGGCACCCTGAAAGAAAAGAGTGACGGAGGCACCCTTTTCCTTGAGCCAAGAGCGACGGTCGAAGCATGTGTTTCACATGCCTTAGTGAACCGTAGCTAAATAGATGGACATGTAGTGAATGCTGTTACATACTAGGGGCTCACAGAAAATGACTCCCCCCTCCCCGTTTTGGGGCAGCATCCCTTTGTACATGCACGAATTACCGCGCCGGGTGGCAGCGGTTTCGACGACCTACGAAGGCTTCGAACTGCTCGGAAGGCTCCTATCTGTCTTAGATGGGACTAAGCACTTTAAATCTGTACAGATGCCAAGCAAGCATAGCGCTTTAAACCACTTTTGTGGTGGCAACGCTTTGGTGAAAATGTCTGCAGCTTGTTCATTCGTATCGATGTACTTAATTTCGACAGATGGGTCGTCGATGCATTCTTTTAATGAACTAAGATTTATCTTGTGGGTTCGGCTGATGTGTCGCAGCTTAGGGGAAAAGCCCTTTCTTACTACTAGAATCGTGGCTTGGTTATCTTCCTGTATGACGAGGTTAACGGCCCGTCCAAGAAGTTTATCCCATAGCTGCAACGAAGGGAGACCTTCTTGATACAACGAATAGGCCAAGCTTACTACTTCCGATTCTGTAGTGGACCTTGACGTGGAGGTCTGGCGCTTAGACACCCATGCTAGTGGATAATGGGTGTTAGGGCCCTTAAGTACTAAGTACCCACCGGAGGTGGACTTCACGTCGTGTTGGTCGCCACCAAAATCGGCATCCACGAACAGCTCTAGCCACAGCTCACTAGCATCATCGCCGCAGACGGCGGTTAACCTATATTCTAGTGAGTGCTGAATGTACTGAATGAGCCGTAGCAACTCTTTATCGTGCACACGGGTCCACTTCTGTACCTTAGTGGCTAGATCATTGATCGGTTTAAGGATGTCGGGTCGTGCTAACCTGGCAAGCCAGAGGGCTTTCATCAGGATAGAGCATGCTTTTGGTGCGAGCTCTCCGGGCGACTCCTCATCAGCCGTGGTGAATGCGCCGTCGGCGAGAAATGGCGTCTGGGCTGACTTTATCTTATCAACACCGGCCACCGACTTGTAGAGGTCGATGGTTTGCTGCGCGTAATCTTTCATGTCGAAGATTAGGGCGTCAGCGCTACCGCGCAAAGCAGCGGTCTCGGTGTTTCCTGAATCTGGGACTACCGCAGATGTGGTTCCTTCCTAGCATTCTGTAAATAGGTTCGGGTGGTTCAACGTTAACAACATTCGTGAGTTCTGACCAAAACTTTTGGTGGTGTTCCCGTGGGCCTGCCAAAGTGAGGTCGTCAACGTATGTGGATAACATTAAACGAGGACCGGAAAACCAGAAGTTACCGGGGAACTCTGGGATTTCTTCGCCATCCATTTTCTTAAGAATGCCCTTCAAATGCTGTTCCCACATTCCTCCTGCGTCGGGATGTCCGTACAGTGCTTTGACGAGAAGGACCACTGGTTGGACAAATTTGTTCTTCCACCATGCGGGTCGAAGTTCAGGTGGTAATTCGATCCAAGTTTTATACTTGGATTTTAGTGTTGCTTGCACATACGCCTTCACCGCATCCGCGGCGGTGCACAGGTTACCAGGTAGTGACCCGTAGGCGAGGCAAGCGTTCAACCCTTGGACCGAAGTCGGGTTTGCCTAATTCTTCATAGACGGCTGCTGCGCCATGTTCGTCCTTTGCGCAGTCACCTCGGTAGACAATCCTACCTTTCTTTTTCTGCAACTCTTTTGCCAGCTCGTAAAATTTAATGGAGGCTATGGTCATTAGTTTACCGAAATGGACGGAGACTCCGGAAGCCTTAGCCTCAGCACGGACGTGCTCCTTCTCCCTAACGGATTCATACTCCCAAGTACCTTCGTTAACCAAATCGGCTGCCTCGTCCTTAACCTTTTGCAAGGCTTCAGGATCACTGAGCATCTCGGTACGGCTTAGGAGCTTGGTGACCAAAGCTGCTACCTGATCTTTACCATCATCGGTCTTTGGGATCTGGTAGGCCTCGTGCATAAGAGCACTGATATCCATTAAACACTCAACCATTTGCCCGACAGTGTCATCTGTCTCAACTGCGATGGCCATAGCGTCGATCCCCGACAAAGCTGACACATGTTTCAGCGTCTGCTCTTTGTCCCTGTGCTCATGTTCATGGGTACATGAAAAACATGGCATGGCTGGGGCATGATGGGAAAAAGACACGCTAGGGTAAAGGGCCTTTGCAATTTGGACAGTCATCTGCCTTGGTTAAAATGCAGTACGAGCTGTCTGCGACCCGACCGCTTGGTCATGTTCGTGGGGTTTATGGGTGCATTGGAACTGCGAGAACATGTCGACGATAGCCCTGCTGGTGGTCATCAGGCGCCACCTCTTTTTAATGGGTCTGCCTTTAGTGGATTTCGCACCAACAGCACACCCGTCAAATTCGACTGGAACAAACTCGGGTGGCTATCAAAGAAATGTTTTACGTCTGTGCGTTGCCAACTCTCACACCCTTTAGGCCACTCGAAGGTGACAGTGCCTTCTCGAGCTAAAGTGAGCTCTGCAGACTTAGCGAATTCAGCAAACAAACGTTTGGACTCCTTAACCTGGAGCGCATGCCTTTTTATGAAATTGAGCCCCCCTTTCATGCGATTTACCCTTTGCCAAGGAGACCCTGATGTGCAAGGGATTGAGGCCCATAAATCAGGAATCTCATCACAGGTGCTTATATGGTGGTGCAACTGTGCTTGCATTTGGGGATCGTCTAGATCGAGGTGCTCTTTTGAAAGGGCAATGTGGGGAATTCCATCTCCAGAAAAAGTCTCGTGCATTTGCGAATCCGAGGCACATGCAAACTCGAACATGCATCGGCCAGGCCGCGCCTTACGCGGTTTCTTCTTCTTCTTCTTCTTAGACTTAGAAACTTGAGCTGGTTGTGCTGCTGATGGCATGCCAAACACCGGGACTCCACTCTCCGGGCGAGTGTGGATGAGTTGTGTCCTGTATGTGGTATGTGGCGAGAGCGACAGCCCCGATATCACAGTCGGAGTCGCATCGATGACGTGTGACTCATCCTCGGTGACACTTTCGGATGAATCCGTCGGAGGCGCGGTCTCGGGCTCCCGCGGTGGAAGCTCCTCCACGGTGAGGCCTTCCCTCCTTTTGGCAAGAAGGTCGCGTCTCTCCTCGTCAACAAGTTTGGCAAAACGTTTCCTGCATGCAGGCGTGTGGTATCGTGTTTTCTTTTCACACGCTTTGCACCCTGGGGTTTCGCTGAACCGAATGATGCGATCCAAAGTGATGTACACCCCCCTGGTTTTAGGGTCCATGGGAGTTGGTGGGACGGCGTCGGCTCCCTCCAGTCCAAAAGGGATTTCCTTCATGGGGATATCCGGCATGTCAAGGCGTGCAAGATCGTCGAGGACTCCTAAAGAACCTCCTTTCAAATGCGCTAGCTTAACAGAGGCCATTGGAAAACATGGAGGACCATCTTCAACATAGATTTCAGCTTCGGGGACTTCTTGGACATTGACATGTTCATTAACTTTGTAATCCATGTAGTCAAGAACACGAACGACATAGCGATACCGAAAACCAGCATCTATTCGCCAACCTAAGAACAAACATGGGGACATGTTAGGCTCTAGGGTGCGTTTAGATACCCGTTTGTCACGGTAGTACATCAGTTGACCAAATGAATGTCTCATGCCGTCGAAGTGCTTGCGAGTGAGCGCCTCCCATTGTGTCTTTGCGGGTTCCAAGGCTGACGGTCTGTCAAAACTCATGGAAAGACATGCAAAGGGATATGAGTGGGTGTGAAAGGAGTATGGCAACCCAGACTGAAGGTGGATTGCTCTGCAGCACTCCTTTTCTTCGCGGATGTCTCTTTCCATCATGGCGTTATGGGGCCATCTGTTTGGCAAGGACGTTTCCGGAATTAACCCAACTTCATGTGCAGCCTGTTCCAACTCTCCGGCCTCGTCCATCTTAACAAGGACGCGAGTAGCTACCTCGTTAGCCTTTAAGCCTAGGAAATGGCGAAAGTTCTTGGAGTGGGTACTGGCATCACGCTTACTCATGGGGTATGCTATTCTAGCACCCGAGTAGGTGTCTCGGACTACATGAAATGCTTTAACCCCGCCTACACCTTTGCCGGCGAAGTCCTCTCCTTTTGCCATTATGACGTCATCGGTAGACAACTGCTCATACGGACCTTTTGGTGGGTCTATGAAGTCGTCATCTTTGACATCAGGTTTACGTGAGACTCTCTTAGAAGTTGACTTCGAGATCTGGCAGACTGGACAAAAGGGATTCTTGGGATAGTGTGTTAGAATACGCGGTTCCTCGAATGCAGCTTTCTTGAGCATGGTAGGGTCATCCGCTATTCTTGCTTCATCACCATCATAGGCAAGCTCTATTAGTGTCTTATCGTCGTCTGGATGAGGCGGAATGCCCCCCGCGAATGCCTCAGCGGTCTCGGACCCAACGGCACTGGACCTAGGAGAGGCATCCTCGACGGACTCGACTGGCTCGCTCACGTCGTCTGCGGCGACGGATGGTGTGTATTCTTCGTCCGAAACAGGATCTGGCGCCGTCTCCGCGGGTGTCGCGTCGATGGCACCGAGTGGCTGG